GAGTCCTCTTTGACTTCTGCCAACAATTATTCTCTAAGTGGTTTGTCTTCTTACAAATACCACAAGGTGGTTTGTCTTCTTACAAATACCACAAGGTGGTTTTCCTTTTCTCGATGAATCATCTTGGTTTCTACCAGATTTTACCTCTCCTGATTTATCCAACCAGACTTTTCTCTCTTCTTTTTGATGCTTGAATTTTTGCCTTGCTTGAAAGGCATCTTCTACTATCCTTTCACTTCTCATAGTTACCCGCTGCTCTTGGACTTGCAATTTGGAGTTCAGTTCAGCCATTGTAAGAATAGTCAAGTCACAAGACTCTTCAATAGCTGCAATTTTCTATTCAAATTTGTCCGGAAGGCTGACCGAGATCTTCTCTACAACTTTCTGATATGGAAGGCTTTCACCAAGTATTCTTATTTGATTTACAATCTCCATCAGCTTGGAAGAATACAACTCTCTCTTCAAAGCTAAGACTCTAATAGATTTTACTCTGTTCAAACTCCTCATTTTAACTAATCCCAGGCCTCTTTGTCTGTTTCACAAGCCATAATCCTCGTAAACATCACGTCCATAAGACTTGAATGTATGCAGGTGAGACCTCTTGGAGATCTAGTCACCAACTCATCATACTTCTTAATTGCATTGAGAGTTGCATTAATTCTCAATGGCTGGACATTAGGTTCTCCAAGCTCAACAACTTCCCATAAGTTGAGAACCTTTAGATAAGCCTTCATCTTGATGATCCAAATGTGATAATTCTCTCTAGTAAAAGTTGGAGGACTCATCGTTGGTTGATTTTCAGGTGCCATGAATTTTTTCAGCAATCAAATTCAAGACATAGAAAGTAGATGAGCCAAACAAACAAAATTTGATTCAGATCCCTTAGGAAATAGGCTCTGATCCCATTTTTAGAAGAAAAGGAAGAAGAACTACAAGGCTACAAGATGTTAACAGTAGGAATTGCTCCAGAAATCTGAAGATGAAGATGAAGATAGGAAAGACTGAAGTTTTCTTTTGAGTTCTATATTTCACTCTAGATGTTCCATCACATAAGGTTTATATATAAATAAAAGGGATAATACATATATTGGACCTTAAACTTGACTTCAAATTTTAACTTTGACCTCCAACTTTCAAAGTGCACAAATAGACACTTTAACTATCCAACCTTTTAATAAATAAACACGCGTGTCTTACCTGGCAAAACGCGTGACGTGCACGCATTTTGCGCGAGTGAGAAGTAATTTTTAGGCACACAACAGTGAAAAAAATGCTGAAATGACACTCTACCCTTAATTAATTTATTTTTTTTTAGTTCTAAAATGGATGTGTAAAGTGTTTAATTAGTTGGCAGCCATTGAGTGGCTCACTAATACACGTGGCAGCGATTGCATTTCACGCTCTTGGCTCCAAAAATCGCGTGTTTATTTATTAAAAGGTTGGATAGTTAAAGTGCTTGTTTGTGCACTATGAAAGTTGGAGGTCAAAGTTAAAATTTGAAGCCAAGTTTAAGGTCAAATATATGTATTATGCCTAAATAAAATGTGAGTATTACAACCACATAATAAGGGCATATCCAACCCAAACACCAAACTATGTACATATGTGGTTCACTAACCACCACTCATTTTTAAATCAAAAGACTTATGTACTACAAAATATCTACAATCTAGGACTTTCTAGAGAAATCTTACTTTCCTAGCAGCAAAATCATCTGTCACATGGTGGCTCACCCTCATCATCCCTATCCCCTATCATCACTGCCTTCCCATAGTGAACCTTAATTGACAATTCATCATCACCTATCTACCGTTCACAGCCTTACACTTATGCTCCAGTTGAACCTATACCAAGAATATCATGACCAACTCTTAGAAGATCACTTAGGCATCACACCTTCCCTGCACATTTTTTGGACTACATATCTACACCAGGCCAACCTTAAGTCTCCCGATGGTAGCTCCAAATAGCCCAGTACCTTATCTCTGTTGCCTTCATTTCAAACCACAATCATGTCTCCCTCAATTATCTGGCTCCTGATAATCTGCTTTTGGTTCAAACTGTTTGCACTAACAATGAGCCAACTTCTTATGAAGAGGCAGCATTGTTCCCTGCTTGACAAGCAGCAATGAAACTTGAACAAGGTCTCCCTCATGCCAGTGGAAAGGAGTCTGTAGGCTGCAAATGGGTATATAATCAAACATAAGGCAGATGGGTGTATTGAGAAGTTTAACGACAGGCTGGTCGTCAAAGGTTATACTCAACAAGAAGGGATTGATTACACAAAAATTCTCACTAGTTGTTCAGATGACTAATGTCAAAGCGTTAATAGCAACTATACTTAAGAAAGAAAGGTGTATTTCTCAACTTGATGTAAATAATGGATTTCTCATGGAGATTTACATGTAGAAGTCTACATGGAAGTTTCTCTTAGGGTGTGTTTGGTAGGAAGGAAAATATTTTCCGGAAAATGTTTTCCAATTTTCTCATGTTTGGTTGGGGTTAAATGCTTTAGAAAATGTTTTCCAAATCAACTCATTTTCTTCAAATTTAAGGAAAATATGACTTTCCTTCAAAACTTAAGGAAAACATTTTCCAAAACTCTCTTCCAACTTCAAATTACAATTTTTTTTATTGAAAAAATCAATTTATTTTGTCTCTACTCTCAGACCAGCCCCCCAACCACCCCTCCAACAAAATTTAAAGCTTATTTTAAAAAAATGTTTTTAACTTCAATTTGTTTACCCCACCCTCACCCCTACCCAAGCCCCCTACCACCACCCCAAGCCCGCTACCCTTAAAAAAAAATCAAGTTTATTTTAAAAAAATATTTTCTACTTCAAATTTTTATTTTTTTCACCCCTACCCTTGACCCCCCTGCCAACCCCCCTACCACCCCCCGCCCTCCCCCCAAAAAAGTTTTAAGTTTGTCTTTAAAGAATATTTTCAACATCAAATTTTTATATTTTCACCCCTACCCTCGACCCCCCCCCCCCACCCCTCTCCCCAAAAAAGGTTTCAAGCTTTTTTTAAAAAAATATTTTCAACTTCAAAATTTCATTTTTTCACCCCTACTCTAGACCCCCACCCACCCACTCCCCTACCAGCCCCCCCACTCTCCAAAAAAAAATTTTAAGTTTGTTTTTTAAAAAATATTTTCAACTTCAAATTTTTATTTTTTCACCCCTACCCTCGAACCCCCCCCCCCCCCCCCAGCCTCCCTATCACCCTCCCCTCCCTCCCCCCCAAAAAAGTTGTAAGTTTGTTTTTAAAAAATATTTTCAACTTCAAAATTTCATTTTTTCACCCCTACCCTTGAGCCCCACCCACCCCCCACCCCCAAAAAAAATTTAAGTTTGTTTTTAAAAAATATTTTCAATTTCAAAAATTATTTTCTACTCTAGTAAAACTAAAAGATATTTCTCAAAACATTTTCATTCATAAATCAAACACTAAAAATCTTTTCCGGAAAATATTTTCTACTCACCAACCAATCATGAGAAAATAAATCAAAAATCTACTTGTTTTCCAAGAAAACATTTTCTAGGAAAACATTTTCCATGAAAAACATTCTCCTTCATACCAAACACACCCAGTGTTACCAATCCTGACCTTGTTTGCAAGCTAAACAAATCACTCTATGGTCTCATACAAGCAAGTAGGCAGTGGTATGGCAAACTAGCTGAGGCATTATGTTCCAGAGGTCAGTGGGTACACTCTCTCTCCGGAAGATTACTCCTTGTTCTACAGAAACTCTTCTGCAATGTATATTTCAGTGTATGTAGATGATGGTATCATCACAGGAACTGACTCAGGAGAAATATCTTAGCTTAAGGATTACCGATACGATAGGTTTAAGATCAAAGATTTGGGCAGGTTACACTATATTTTGGGTTTGGAAGTTCTATACTGAATGGATGGAGTCATTATCTCACAAAGGAAGTTTGATGGTGACTTGTTGAAGGAGTATGATTGTCTTAGTTTTAGCAGCTTCACTTCTCTTGATCTATACTGTAAAACTAAAACATAAGGAATGTCCAGCAATATCAGATCATTCCTTTTACAGAAAGTTAATAAGGAAGTTAAATTTCTTGACAAACACTAGGCTTGAAATTGCCTATAGTGTCCAACATCTAAGACAGTTCATGCAAAATCCAAGGGAACCCCACTCACAAGCAGCTTGCATTTGCTCAGGTATCTCAAGACAGACACTACACTTGGCATTTTTCTCTCAAATGATCCTGACTGCACCATAAGTGGTTATTGTGATTCAGATTGGGCCACATGCCCTAACTCTAGGAGATTAGTTAGTGGTTACCTTGTATTTCGAGGAAACAGACCTATAAGATGGAAATCTAAGAAGCAAGAAACAATTTCCTTATCATCAGCAGAAGCTGAATACTAATCCTCTGAAAACTGGTTAGAGAGATTACTTGGTTGTGCAGGTTGTTCAGAGAGTTAAATGTATCTTTTCCTTAGACTGCATCAATCTTCTGTGACAGTCAGTATGCCATACAAATAGAAAGAAAACCTGTTTCTCGTGAATGGACAAAACACAATGAGGTTGACTGTCACTTGGCAGACAATCTCACCAAATCCTTAACAACTGTCAAACATTCTTCTGTACTCACCAAGTTGGCTTGAGAACCTCACCGCCAACTTAAGGGGGTATTAGGATATATATTTGTAATTATAATTATTATAAGCAAGCGGTAGTTAGTTTGTTAAATATTAGTTAGTGAGAATTAGCCTACCTTAGATGTTGCTTAGCTATCAATTTGAAGTCAATTAAGATAGGTTGGATATTATTTTCATGCTTTGTATATATGCTTTGGATATTCAGAAAATGGAACCAGTTGAGCATTCCGATCTACCAAAATATCTGTATCTCTTCTTTGCAAGTCGCCATTACAGCTAAGTCAATTGCTGAGTATCCATGGCTGCTGATCCTATCAGTTTGTTTGGATGAAACAGAAAAAAGTTTCTGTTAACATTGTTACCTTGTAAACAGGTCCAAAACCACCCTCTCCAAGCTTGTTGCTCAGCGAAAAGTTATTGGTAGCATGAGATATAGTTTCAAAATCAAACAACGGTAAATCTAGCTCTTCGTCTTTGTTTTCGTTAGTGCAGAACATTTCAGAGCTTCTTGTTCCTCTTCCTGTTAAAATAAGGACTTGATTGAATGTAAAGAGAAAAATTCTGATATTTACCAAATGTGACTCCAGAAAAAAGGTACCACTAATTCAAAAGCAGAAAAAACCTCTAGTTTACCTTTGCTAAAATGTTGCTGATTCTGATCCTTCTTCTTTCGCCTTATGTACAAGATTAAGCATAGTGCTAAGAGCAGTCCTAACGCTGCCACTGGCAAGCTGATACTCAGTATCTTTACCTTTTTTGTACTGGAGTTACCTGAGGATCAAATTAAATAAATTCATCGAGTTTCATAAGAAGGAAATCTGTTTTGTTTGTAGAGAAACCTCAACTTGCTCATTCCATGACATTTAATTTGGTCTGGAATAATACTCAAAATATAATGTAGCATTCTTAACAACCTTACATGAAAAAGTGAAGAAACAGATTTGTACCTAACTCGGAAGAGTCCAACTTTACATAGATATCTTGCCCACTAGCACCAAACTCTCTGATGTCCATCAGCTCATTAAACCAAAGCAAGCACCCTTCATTTGTCCCTGTTATGTCTGGATTTGCATAAGCCATACATGAGCAGTTTCTCAAGCACAATTCCTCGCATGCATTTAGAGTCACTCCTCGACTGTACCAAGCAAAACGAGTGTCTGGAAACTTGATGCCTGGATATTTCAAGAATTTTACTTCCTTTTGGCAATTCAATGATGTCTTTCTAACACAACCTTTTGACCAATTTCCCCTTGCCCATTCTGTTGGATCTTTTGGTTCAAATTTATCCGGACATCTGCAGATTGGAGTGTTGCCACTGTTGCAGAGACCATATGACTGACACTGTCCATAAATGTCACAGTTATCTGCTGGTACACTAACATAGTCATCCCAATTCTGAGTTTGATTATTCCATATCGAGAGTTGTAGAACCCCATTTACTTGCATCACTACCCTTGCAAGGATAGACCTATCCGTTAACTGATACATAAAGGAAACTTTCTCTGGATCAGATATATATGTATAGTTATAATCAGGACTTGGTAGCTGAGATGGCGAATTAGAAAAGCCTCGACCATTCCACGGTCCAGACCTGTAGTGTTCAATGGAACCGTTCATGACAAATGGTTGTGGGAATCCACGAAGATCAAATACCCAATTAAACTCACCCTTGGAGGGGTCATTTCTGCTCTTCCACGACCTGAGGAAACCACGAAAACCAGTCTTCAGATCAATCCCAAGCTTCATTCCAGGTAGAGCCGTGTCAGTTGGATAGTCAAAACTCTGCCACAGATAATTCTCAGTTGAATCATCTCTAACAACAAGATTGCCTGAATCAAGAAGTTGTGCTATTGGATTTTCTACATGTCTAGTGGAATTGGATGACCAAATGACTCTGCCAGAATCATTTATAAGAGTAAGAATTCCTTGTCTGGTTAAATTTAGCACGCTGGATGTATCGTTGAGTGGACTGTCTCGATTAGCAACCCATACCACTGTCTGTACAGTAACTTTATTGAATAATATTCCTAAGTACCATTTCCCTGATGTCCCAGGTGAAAAAAATTCCAACTTGAACTTGGCACCAGATGAAATAATGGTAGTTCCATCTGTTAGAGGTTGATTTACAGGTATGGTATCTAGAGCAGTAGTCGACAGAATCCATATGGATGACAACAAGAAAAGTATGTTTATGGCTTCCATTGGTCTTTATTGTTATCTTAGTAGATGGAGTTTGTTTTTTCTTACAGATGAAGTCATGGAGATGTTCAGAAGCTTGATTAATCAATCTGTTGTGTGGACTTTGACAAGAAATGATAGGTTCATCAATCGTATTAACATAGTCCACGTGGAAATTTGCTATGTTCACCTCTCTTTGTCTTAATAACCGAGAAATAAATCACTTATCGACAGTCTTTAAAATACTCATGAACTTGATTAAGTAATTTAAAAATACAGTTCTACTTGATTAAATATTTTAAAAACATCCATCTTGTGCTGCATGTCATCCACCCAAATATATATAAAATAAGTATTTGAAAAACATTTAATTTTAAGAATTTAACAACCATAGAAGAAATGAAGAACTTTTTTTTCTAATCTTTTCTGTATCGTTCCAATATTATCGGATGTCCCCCAAGGACTTGAGATGAATGAATTACTTAGCAGCATTTTTATCTAAAAAAAAAAAACTTTTTTCTTTTAAAAATCAAATTATTTTTTATCACCCCATCTCACCCTATCCAGTACTCCAACTCCACACCTCACTAGTCACTACCCATCCACCTCCAAAAATATTTATGGGGTAAGAATTTTATTTTAACTTATTTTAAAAAGTAATTTTAATTTAATTTGCACGGGGGGAGTCGAGATAGGTAGTGGTGTGGAATAAGAATATTTTTTTAGAACCTTTTTTTCAAAATTGGGGGTGGGGTGGGTGGTGGGGTTGCGTACGGGGTAGGGGATGAGGTAGGGTAAGAAAAATATTAATTTTTTAGAAAAAGTTTTTTTCTTCTTTATTGCTAAATTTTAGCATTTAATTATTTAAATATTTTTTTCATTTTTATTTTACTACATATATTTATGTGTACGCGTCAGTAGAAACTTCCACATATGTGCGTGGATGGATTACATGTGGTATAAGAGGGTGTCTTTTAAATTATTTAATCAAGTAGAAGGATGTTTTTAAGGCAATCATTAGTTGGGGGGACTAAAGTAATAATTCACGTCAACTTAAGGGGTATTTTCAATATTTTTCTCTATTTTTTATGGAATAATTATTTATTTATTTATTCATTCTAATAAAATTTACTTTAAATGGATTATTCGTATATTCATTTCTGTGTGTTATTTACTTATATAATAGAATAGGGGTGTCAAATGGGTGGGTTACACTGAAATTAGAGAAATTAAAATGGGTTGAACTAAAAATCGGGTTGAGTCATGACCCGCTCAAGTTTACTTTGGGATCAAATGGATTAAAAATCGGGTTGGGTCATAACCCGCCCAATTTGACCCCCTTAATATCAAGAATTTTAGCATATTGCTATTTAGCTTTTATAACCCCAATTTGAATTCCAACTATTATTTTTTTTGAAAAAAAAAAGTTCTCGATTTGAAGGGTGCACAGATCAAATATTATAGTTGTTGCATAACAAAAATTTAAAAGCTCAAAGGTAATTGACACCTAGGGGTCGTTTGGCATGAGGGATAAAAATAAATAGTCCTTAGATAAAAAAAAAATAGTCTAGGATAAATTTTTGGTGTTTTGTTTGGTTGTCAAGTTTAGGATAACTTATTCCACCATATATACGATAGTGATGGGACAAGTTATAACTCTTTTCAGTATGGAAAATACACCAGATTCCATGGTATAGCTCACATGGTATATGTCGGTTAATGGTAAAATCCCACATAAGATTATGAGTTTCTTTAAAGACTATGAGTTTCTCAAAAATTACGATTTAAGCTTATGTTATGATTTTCAAATGTTGCATTGACCTTGTCTCATGATTTATGATATGAGCTTATCGAGATTTAATAAGTTTTACTTGGCCATGCATCATCAAATTTTCAAGACTTAGCATGTTTCACATTTATGTTTATGCATGTTCTCCATATTCAGTACATTCAAAGTACTGATGCATATATATGTTGTGCCTATGTTGTTTCATAATGTAAGATTCGGCATTCCTCCCTTATGTCGTGGCTAGTGAATTGATCACTGTTTGCTTAGTTTGTGGTGAGTTCTCATGGTTCGAGTGCATCATCACACATTATGAGTTTCTTGTCTTATTCAGTCTTTCAGTTTTCAGACTTATTTCGTGAGCTAGGGTTTGTCCTAGTCACACCTATGATATAAAGGCTTGTTGTCAGACTTAGTATAATTCTGTATTTACTGTCTTTGTACTCTTATTTTGGTATCATCTTGAGTTGAAGTATTGAGACTAATATTTTTTATCTCTTTATATCGGTTATGTGTATCTTATTGTCATGCTTATGTCAAGTGGATTGTTTAGGTCTCTGGGATCTTATTCGTCATGTCACGTCTAGGGGTAGTTTGAGTCGTGACACTTGTGTGCCTTCTCTAATGCTCATTAGGGTGGGTGCCTCGACACTCGTTGTTCACCCACCGAGTATTATGTGTTTCTTAATTGGAAACTCCTTACTCTCTTGGAAGTCAAAGAAACAAACAACAATGTCCAAATCATCTACTCAAGTAGATTAATATTGTGCCATGTCAACTACTTGTAGTGAAGTGGTTTGGTTGCATCGTTTGTTGACTGATTTTGGCATTCATTTTTCCTCACCCACATCCATGTATTGTGACAATGAAAGTGTTGTAAAGATTGCCTCCAATCCCTTTTTCCATGAACAAGCCAAGCAATTAAGATTGATTGTCACTTTGTCCGAAAGAAAAGTGATGATGGTGATATTCTTTTCTCATGTTTCTTTTAGAGATGAAATGATAGATTTTTTCACCAAGTCTCAAACAAAGAAAAGACATGAATTTTTTAATTGCAAACTGTTGGTTGACCACCATCAATTTGAAGGGATGTTAATCACCATCAATTACAATATCTACCAACCATATATAGTTGATTACATATATCATGCCCCGAGGCTATCCCATTGACGTAACACGAGACCTAGAATCACGAGTGAACCCAAGCTAACTCTGTGTCTGGCATATCATAAGAATACTATAAAAGTTATTGAATAAAACATGTACTATACGGAAGCTAAAACAATGGATAACTGAAAGTGGGAGAAACCCAACTAGTCTGAATATGTAAAACATACTAAGAGTTTAGTGATAACTGAAAAATCACTTACAAACTCAAGTTGAATCTACTACTATGTATGAAAAGCCTCTAACTGAGTTGAGTTGCTGGGACTTGCCCCAGCTAAATCTAACAAAACTAAAAATTAAAAGTAAAGACTGAAATGAAAGCATGCCTAATGTCCTCGAAATATGAGGACTCAGCACTGAAACTATGAAATGCGGATCGAGAATCGATCTATGTGTGATCTGGATGTTGAGTACTTGAACCTACATCATGAAATGATGTAGCATAGAGTATGCATCTGTAACACCCTGGATTCGAAAAGAGGTAAATTTTGCAGATTTAGAGAGTTGAAGGTGTCAACTAACGGTGGCCACCCACGGACCGCAGGAAGGGTCCGTGGTTGGGCACCTCAGACTAGACTCATACCTTAGGACCACGGCCTGACCAACGGACCGTCGGTCAGACCACGGTCGATGGTCCAGGGTCCGTAGGTCGAACCCTCAGAAACCAGTCTCTGACCACAAAACGACAGTCGTGCAGGACGGTCTTTCAACCTGTCCACGGTCTGTGGTTCACTAGTCCATAGGTCGGCAATAAAACCTCTGAATTTACCGACGGTCAACCAGGATAGACCATAGGTCGATAGACAGTCCATCGGTCAGGGGTCGTCGGTCATGACTAGTAGTTATTTTTAGGGGCATGTGGGTCTTTTCCGATTTTAATTAAATCAATGTGGTGTCATTTTGCCTAAGTCTAGTACACCTATATAAGGATCTTTAACCCCCAACTTCCCCTGTTCAAGCCATTATTTCAAAACCCCAAAGAAATCCCAAAACTCTTATCTCAAATATTCTCCCTCTAGAAAGTGGAAGAAGAAGGAAGAGATTGAAGCTAGGTCAAGTTCAAGTCTCTAATCTTCAAGATTTTGTGGTCTTTGTGACTAAGGTATGAAGGATTTTCATCCATAGGATCCTTTCTCCTATGGAGTCCCCCAAAACTCCCCAATTTGTGAAGAAGAAGTCCCCAATTCTAGTTAGGGTTTCTTCCAATGTTGATCCAATTGAGTGGATTATGGTTGTTTATGATTGAATTGATAGAATTACATGTTTTATGATGAAATTAAATGTACCCTTGCCTATCCTATGTTTCTAGGGTAGAATTGATATAATTGGGTTTGATGCCATGAAGGGAAACTTTATGGGTTAGATATATCCTTATAGGATAGATGATTTATGGTTAGAATTGCTTGAGATTTAAGAATATATGATGAACATGATGTTAATTGCTTAAGATTAAAGCATAGATAAAGATCATGAGATGTAGTGCTTTGAGAGTAAAGCCTATACTATGAGTTGTTGATTGTCAATGTTATAGTGTGGAAGGGATACTTGCCACAATGAATTGTTAAGCGTGATTGTATGAATGTGAAAGGATTCCTCACATGAATGATTCTAGGTTGAAAAGATTGCTCACCTAAAATGAATCTAGACTAAAAGATTATATAATTGATGAGGCTAGAGGCGACTATCCTTGACCTCTATATGAGAAGGATATGAGGTGATTTCCCATACTCCTTAGTATTGAACAAGAGGTGATTCCCCACATTCCTATTATGATGAATGGACATGGAGGTAAGTACCATGATCCTTATGAAATGATGTGGAGGCGAGTACCCATGTCATATGATGTTGGTCATGGAGGCGAGTACCCATGATTCTAAAGTAAGTAAGGCAAGAGGTGAATACCCATTAGCCTTTGTAAGTTAGGCACATAGGCGAATCCCCATGTCTTTAAAAGTAAGTATGAATAATGTGATTTATGTTTTAAAGATATGAATAGCTTGGAGTGTTGCTTGATATGCCTTCCATGATGTAAGAATGACTAGGTTTAGAATGGTTATAAGATGTCTTAAAACTACGTCAAGTAGAGTCTTCTTCATAAGTGTG